TTGAGATGGATAAAGTTGGTATGACTTTAGGCATGAGGCCTGAAAATTATAAAAGATAAGACTAATTAGTGGAGCGCAATGCTCACTTACATAACACTAGGCTTAGTACGCACGTGCAACCTGTGAGGTTATCCAGAGGACAATGAGGATGAGTGTAAGCCTTCAACCAAAAGACCGCCAAAAGAAGACTGAAGACCTCCTAGCAACAAGTGAAGCATGGACCATGAAGAATAGTGATTTAAATTAAAAAATTTAAATTTAAATTTAAATTTAAAAGTTTTAAAATTGGAAGTAGGGGGAAACTTCTGGGAAACATGAATGAATATGTCGAAGCATACAGTATATAAGTTTAGTTTGAATTGCTCTTTTTGTACATGAGGTAGGGTGAGAAGCCTGTACCACTATTGTGATGACTGCAAACTGGACAAGCTCTTACTATAGCTTTTGCTTCTTGGATTGCTATTCTATATTCTCGCACCAATCCTTTTGCATTCTGGTGGAATCGAGCATGCGACTCCTTGGCTTCTGTTATTTTGTCATCAACTACATTCATTACTAATCTATCTGCCCTTGCATTTCCTTCTCCTAATCCTACATCCCACTTGTGGCTTCGAATGTGAATAACACAATAGGGTTCTGTTCTAGCCTTCACAGCCCGTTTTAGTTGCAACAACAATTCATATAGTCTTTTGTTCTGGACTTCCTTGACTGCTGCATCTTCTATTCTTTGTCCTACCCCTGCTACATAGTAAGAATCTGTGACTACATTTAAAGGCCCTTGTAGTTTACTTAATGCCCACACAACGGCAAGAAGTTCTAATGTTTGCAGACTGTCTTCTGGAGCCGCTTCAATCAGATGATGTTTCCATTGGGACCCTTCCTTCCAGGTTATGGCTGCTTTCCTTGACTTTTTCCCGGCATCTGTGAAGACCGTAACGGCTTCTGGTATAGGCTGGTATGACCACAACGGTTTTGCAACCCAGTCCCAATCTTTTAACCATAGGAAATGTCGTGGTGTTAAAGGTCCTGTACAAACAGATGCTCCTGATCCCAGCAACGCTGTCTGTAACTCCTCCGAATTATGCAGGTACCAGTCTAGGTCTTCGTTTTTTATAGGTATGTAAATTGTTGTAGGTTCAGTTCCAGTAATTTCTATTATCCTGGTACGGCCTTTACATAACAGGGTGGCCATCTGTTCAATTTTTGTACTTATTGTCCTTTTTGCTTGTAGTGGTGGGGATAGCCATTCCAGGACCCTCATTTCCCCCGCTTTTTTCTGCAATTGTGTAAGAGCGCCGAGAAGATGTTCTGAGGTATTCCATATAGTAAGGTCAATGGGCAAGTCAATATCGCGACGGGAAACAAAACCTACTTCTATACACTGGAGAATATCTTTGATTGCTTTGTTCTGTTGAGGGGAAATCGTGACAGGCGAACTGGGATCTGTTCCCTTCAACAGTGGGCGAAGGCAGTTTAGTAAGGTGTTTGGGATGCCAACTATGGGTTTCAACCATTGAAGATCACCAAGTAGGCGTTGTGCGTCATTTAAAGTGACAATTTTTGTTGAGAGCTGCAGTTTTTGTGGACGCACAATTTGATTGGTAATAGTCCATCCCAGGTACTTCCAAGGTGCGGTCTGTTGTATTTTTTCTTGAGCAACCACAAGAGATGCTTTTGCCAATGTAGTTTGGATCTCTCTCAATTGATCAGAAGTGAATTGGGGCTTTTGAGCAAAAAGAATATCATCCATGTAATGATAAATTATGGTCTCAGGCCACTTTTGCCTCAAAGGCTGTAGGGCTGCATCGACATATAGTTGACACAAGGTAGGGGAGTTACGCATGCCCTGAGGCAATACTGTCCATTTAAATCGCTTATCAGGTTCCCCTCTGTTGATTGCAGGCAAGGTAAAGGCAAATCGCTTTGTATCTTGTGGGTGGAGGGCGATAGTGAAAAAACAGTCCTTTAAATCGATGATCAGAAGGGCCCAATGTTGTGGGAGCATAGCTGGATTCGGAAGACCTGGTTGCAATGCTCCCATAGCTTCCATTTGATCATTTACTGCTCTCAAGTCATGCAAAAGACGATACTTTCCAGATTTCTTCTTAATCACAAATATAGGAGTATTCCATGGGCTAGTAGACAATTTTAGATGACCTTGTTGAAATTGTTCTCTGACTAGTTGATGTGCTTGCAACAAACTTTCCCTTTTTAGAGGCCATTGCTTAACCACCACTGGTTTGTCGGTTGTCCAGGTAAGTGGAATAGGGAAAGTCCAAGCAATGGCAATTACTCCAAAGGGTGCTCATTAGATAGAACAACTCCAAGCTGGACTAAAATGTCCCTTCCTATTAAACACTGTACTGTTGGAGGTAAAGGGACAACGGACAACACAGCCACTAATGTTTGCCCATCTATGATCACTTGTATAGGGGGTGTTCTTTTAGCTAGCGTGTATCCCCCGACTCCGGTCACTGTATCCATGGTTTGTCTGGATGGCCAACTGCTAGGCCAATACTCCGGAGATACTATGCTGGTGTCTGCTCCCGTGTCCAACAAGCCCCAAAGTTGTACTGATTGTTCAGCATATTTCAATGTTATTTTCTTTTTTGTTCTGCTGTTTAAGTCCATTGTGAGCATGGCTATCCCTGATGATCCAAATCCTTGATTATTCCGAGGGCCTTGCATCAATGTTTGAATGCCTTTGGTTGTTTGTGGCAGTGGTATAAATTGGGCAATGCGTTGACCGGCTTCAACAGTAATTGGAGGGTAGAGCGTATATGCCATAATTTGTATTTCTCCGGTATAGTCCGCATCTATGACTCCAGGTAAAACAAATAGGCCCATCACAGAAATCGAGGAGCGCCCCAATAAAAGTCCTCCATATACTTGTCCCCTAATCTTTATTGGGCCGTAAACTCCCGTAGGAATTCGAACAGGGTGTGTTGTCATCAGCGTTGTTTTTATTGCTGCTGCCAAGTCAAGTCCCAAGCTCCCGGCAGTGGCTGGTTGTAGACACGAGGTGGCGCTGACGTCG